GCTGCAGCCTCCGAATTGGCGACAAAGGCAGCCCCATGTAGAGAGCGTTACAGTAGTCTAGCTTCAAGGTGAATGTTGCATGGATCACTGTGGCCAGATCGCCGTGGCTAAGGAAGGGGACCAACTGCCGCACCAGCCATAGGTGATAGAAGGTTGCTTTGGCAGTGGCCGCCACCTGGGCCTCCATCGTTAAGCTGGGGTCCAGGAGCACTCCTAACCTCCGAAGCTGGCACCAAAGGCATCCCATCGAAGACCGGGAGTGGGAGCCCCAATCCCATGCCACTTTGACCCAGGCACAGGATCTCCGTCTTCACTGGGTTCAGCTTCAGCCAACTCTGCCTGAGCCACCCAGCCACAGCCTGTAAAGCCCGGTGAAGATCTTCTGGATCGGAGTCCAACCGGCCGCCCAACATCAGATAGAGCTGGGTGTCATCGGCGTATTGATGACACCCAATCCCATACCTCCGGACAATCTGGGCGAGTGGGTGCATATATATGTTAAATAGCATCGGGGAGAGCACTGCCCCCTGAGGCACTCCACATTCAAGCAGGTGCCTCCAGGACTGCTGCTCCCCTAGCCCAACCCTCTGTCCCCAACCTTGGAGAAAGGAGACAAGCCATTGAAGGGCGAGCCCCTGAATCCCCATGTCGGTGAGGCAGTGGGCCAGCAGCTGGTGGTCGACCGTATCAAATGCGGCTGACAGATCTAACAACAACAGCACCACCACACCGCCTCGGTCCAGATGTCTGCAGAGGTCGTCAGTAAGGGCAACCAGCACAGTCTCTGTCCCATGCCCCGGGCAAAAGCCAGACTGGAATGGATCAAGGATGTAAGCATCATCTAGAAGCCCTGTAGCTGTATCGCCACCGCCTTCTCAATCAGTTTGCCCAAATAGGGCAAATTGGACACTGGCCGATAGCTGGCCAATTCGGTCGGGTCCAGGGTTGGTTTTTTCAGGAGAGGGTGGACCATCGCTTCCTTGAGTGCCTCGGGGAACCATCCCTCCAAGAGGGACTTGTTGATAATCTCCCTCAAGGCACCTCGAAACCCCTCGTGGCCCGCTTTAATGAGCCAGGAGGGGCACGGGTCCAGGCTACAAGTGGTTGGGCGCACAGACACAAGCAATCTATCAACTTCCTCCAGGCTGAGCCAGTCAAAGCCCGGTGAAGCCGTGCAAGGGGTTTCAAGTTCACTCACTGTATCAACTGTGGCGGGGCTTAAAATTCTTCAACAATCTGTTTTCTTCTATTATTTCCGCATTATTATTATTTCCTCTACTTTTTGAACTTGGTACCTAACCATCACACATAAAAATAGGTGCCAACACCCTGTCTGGATTTCCAGCAGTTACCTGTCACATTCTTATAGCATTTATTTATTCTATCTAATGAAGCATGCCCTCTGTAAAACATTCCAAGTGTATTCTCTTTGTACACTGTAGCTCTGGTTAAATTTATTCCCCCACACACACCTTAGACGACTGGTCTAGTTCTATACTGTCCGTTTCCCCCCGGATATTTTGACTTCTTAAAGTATATGAAGTTTTCTCCATCTCCAGTTTTATTATTGTAACCTCAATTAAATCTTGCTTTTCTTTCACATTTTGTGATCACTGCTCTATTTCCTCAATTTTAGATTCCATCTTATCTTGTGATTGCTGTTCTATTTCTTCAATGTTAGTTTCCATCTTATTAGTCCAATTTGTTGAGATTGTAGTCTCTTGTTTATTTCCAGAGATTTGTTTTTTAATTTCTTCTGTTTGAGTTGTCAGTTGCGTTGCCAATGCCTCTAGTTTTATTTGTATTGGTTCTATTGCTTTAGCCATTGCTACTTCTACCACCACACTCACTGAAGTTGTTACCGATTCATATATCAGCTTTTGTAGGTCTTCCATATTTATTTGTGTTAAGTTCATTAAGGGTGGTGGAATCAATGCTGTTCTAATTCGACTAGCTTTATCCATTTCTTTTTATTTTAATTTACTTATGTTTGGGTTTCCTATTTATACTATCTTCATTCTTAACTATCTACCTGAACTATTTACTACTATTACTATCTATACCTATATTGTCTAACTAAAGAAGCTACTATAGCTATTTTGTATCTATTCTATAGCTAATATCTTTATCAACCTTTACCCTTATACTATGACCCTTATTCTATCCTATGCTTTCTTATTCCTTAGTTATCCAACCTTAACTCTGCTCCAAAAACTTATTAATCCACACATCCTCAAAAGAAAGGAAAAAGAAATAAACACTTTTCAGTCCTTCCCCTCCCCCAAACCTTGTTTCTTCTTTCGTCTTTCTTCTGTCTCTCTGTTCTTCTATCTTCCTTACAGTCTATTTATATTAAAGCATTCCAAAAGGTTGTGTTCATAGCTTAATCCACTAAATAAGCAAATCAAGTTTGAGTCTGTATCAGAAAATATGGCTCATACCATCCTTCCTGCTCTCCTTTTCGCCAAAGCCACATAAAATGGGGTGACAGGCAAGCACAGATACTGCCAAAAGAGAGCCATCGTTAATATTTCTAAGCTTTATTCCATCCAACAGTATAGTAATTGGGGTTGTCAGGAGTACCCGCTGTTCGGCAATAGTCACAAACCTTAAATGGTTCCACCTTAAGTGTTCTTTAAAAAAAAGACAAAAGGAAACCGTCTTTGGGTAGGCTGTGGACTTTTCTCCACCGCTTTTCCCCTTTAAATGCCACCACCTTCCATTTTAACACATATAGGTCTCCTAACGGCAATTCCTCTTCATATTAATTAAAGGGAAGAGTTCATATCCATAGTCAAATCATAAACTGGTTTCAATATGCTCACTGTGTTTTATCTCATCTCTGGAAGACTCTGTGCAGGTTCGCTGGTCTTTGGCTTTCACCCAGCGTTGGTAAGCACAACACTGAGTGTCTTCCCCGCCTCCCGCATCGGAGCAGTTTCAGTTCTTGAAGGTAGCCGCCACTCTCTTCAGTTTCCAAAACAAGCTCTCTGCTGAAAGCTCTCACTCCAGAGGGCTTGTTTGGGTTTCAAGAACACTGGGGGTGCTCTTGGGTGCCGGGGTGTGTGGAATTCTGGTGGCTTCAGCAGGGAACACTACTGCCTCTGTCTGCCATCGTCTTGACCGGAACCGGATCTCCACAAAGTTCAACTTTCATGATTTGAGTCTTTGCACACTTTAAATGTATTAAACACCCCTAAAATTAAATCAAGGCTTTACATCCCACTCACAGTTTTTGAAAAGCTCATGAACTCTAAAACACCACTAAAGAAAGGTCTTATATTAGAAATATACATATTTTTTAATAAATCAAGCCAATACAGCTATGACAAGCTATCAACAAGCTTGGCATAATGATCTGGAATCAATACTAACAGAACATCAATGGGATTAACTTGGAGTTCACAGGCAAATAAAACTCAATCATTGAATGCTCAGACTATTATATACAAGGTTTTGTATAGATGGTATTCAACACCACATCAGCCTATGGGGAGGGCGGGGTATAAATGTGAATAATAAAATAAATAAATAAAAATTCATATATAACTACTATTTCCTCTTTGTGTTAGATTCCTGGAGATTTTCTGGTAGAGTCTATGGAAGCCAGGGTTTGGGGAGGGGAGAGGCCTCAGCAGAACAGAATGCCATAAAGCCCACCTTCCAAAGCAGTCATTTTCTTGGGGGGGGGGGAGATCTGTTGTCTGGAGTACAGTTGTGATACCTGGTGATCTTCAGGTTCCACCTCGAGGTTGGCTACCCTAGGCGTAGGACTGAGTGCTTCAGAGCAGGGTCTGCTAGATCCAGGTTCTTGCTGTGGGTGGTGGGTAATTTTGGACCAGTGGGTGATTTTCAGTAGGTGATTTTGGACCACTCACAGACTTTCAGCCTAACCTACTTCACAGGGTTATTGTACAAATCAAAAGGGGGAGAGGAGAATGACGTAAGCTGCTTTGGTCCCTATTGCAGAGAAAGACTACTTTTCCTCCTGGGGAACCATTGTTGCCAATACCCAGGTGAGGGGTGGAGATCAGTCAGAATTACAACTGATCTCCAGGAGGGAGGACAGAAGTCAGTTGCAGATAATGGTAGGTTGATGGTTAGCTGGGAAGGGGATGGGGTTGCCAACTCCAGGTTGGGAAATTCCTGGGGATTTCAGGGGTGGAGCCTGGAGAGGGTGGGGTTTGAGGAGGTTGCCACAGCAAATTGATGCTGAGTACCCAACGCCTTGGCACTCTTCCAGAGCCTGTTTCTAGAGCTTGTTATATTTATTTCCACAACGGACCTTATTCCTAGTATAAAATACAGGTAATACCTGTCCATTCTCATAAATGGAGATGAATGGTTATTTACAATTATAAATATCTATGGTTCTTTTCCATGTGGGCTTTTTTCTGTATGGGCTTTTTTCCATGTGGGCAGTTTTTCATGTGGGTATTTTTCCATGTGGGATTTTTTCTGTGAGCATTTATGACTTTTTTCTGTGGGCTTTTTTTCTGTGGGCTTTTTTCTTAGAACCATAGTTCTATAAGTGCACTATGTAGAAAAAATATTTTATTTGGTCACCCTCTGCTGCCCACCAATGCTATTGGTAGACCCTGTGTTCTGATGTTGTAGAAAGAAAAAAATCTATCTGTTCACTTGTTTCAAATAAAGTATAATTTTACTAACCTCTATCATGTCCTACTTAGTTGCCCTTTTAAAACAAGTGAATAAAGCCCAAAATATTTTAGGCTTTGCTCATTGGGAAAGTATTGTAACCTACTGATAATTTTGATCACGCTTTTAAACATGGTTTTCAGTTCAACAATATTGTTTGTTGAAATGGGGAATCAGAACTGTACACACTTTTGTTTTTTCCTACCTACCTGAGATCACAAAACCTGAAAGATTATAAAGGATGTGACAGGAAGTATTTCATGGCTGGTGGGCTGAGTTAAATGTGGTTATCCTGGTCATTTTTCCTGAATAATTATTCAGTCCTTTTTCTTGTACTGCAGAGTAAAGGCTCTTCAAGTATAGCATCATCAGGAATGCAGAAGAAAGTCAAACGGACTCTGCCCAACCCACCTCCAGAAGACATTGCTGTAGGAACACAGTCTGCCTTTACCACTGTGGGGTCAGTTTCACGTCGAAGGATCTGTAGAAGCAACACTATGGCCAGAGCTAAAATCCTCCAGGATATAGACAGAGAACTGGATCTAGTAGAACGAGAGTCAGCCAAGCTTCGGAAGAAGCAAGCAGAGCTAGATGAGGAAGAGAAGGAAATAGATGCAAAGCTTCGATATTTAGAAATGGGCATCAATCGACGAAAGGAAGCATTGCTTAAAGAAAGAGAAAAAAGAGAGCGTGACTATCTTCAAGGAGTAGCAGAGGAACGGGATTATATGTCAGACAGTGAAGTTAGCAGCACCAGGCCTGCCAGGATAGAAGCTCAGCATGGCTTGGAAAGGCCTCGGACTGCACCGCAAACAGAATTTGATCAGTTTTTACCTGCACAGTCTCAACCAGAAACTCAATTTGCAACTCCTACAAGCCCTTATACACAGTATCAATACTCTTCACCTGCCCTTCCTACTCAAGCATCAGTTCAGTACACACAGCAATCACATTACCAACAGCAACAGCCTTTATACCAATCACCGCAGGTTTCTCCTTATCAGACCCAGTCAGCATTCCAGACAGTGGCAACGATGTCCTTTACACCTCAGGCTCAGCCACCACCAACCCAACAGCCTTCCTATCAACTCTCATCACAATTGGTGGTAATCCCACAAAAAGCAAGGCAAACTTCATTATACCTGGAACCCAAGATAACAACAAATTATGATGTAATTCACAATCAGCCTCTGATGATAGCACCTTCATCTTCAGATAATACCTATGCAGTGTCCCATTTGGGTAGTAAATACAGTACCTTGGACTTAAGAATGGGACTGGATGAGAGGAGCAGCATAGCCAGCAGTCCTATCTCCAGCATATCTGGTGATTCATTCTATGCAGATATAGACCACCACACACCACGCAATTATGTGCTGATTGATGATATTGGGGAGATCACTAAAGGAACATCATCTCTGAGCTCTGTTTATGGCCTTCATGAGAAGGATCTAACCAAAACCGACCGGCTCCTTCGAACAACTGAGGCCCGTAGGGTGCAAGAAGTCTCAGATTTCCTTCCACCACTGCAGCCTTCTTCTCGGTTGCATAATTACATGAAAACTGATGAAGACCCAATGGAAGATCCTTATGAACTAAAGCTTCTAAAGCATCAGATTAAGCAGGAGTTCCGCCGGGGTGCAGAAAGCTTGGATCATGTGGCAGGCCTTTCACAGTATTACCATGGAGATACTAGCTACAGATATTTCCCCAAGTCTGAGAAATACAGCATAAGCCGGCTTACCTTAGAGAAACAAGCTGCCAAACAGCTTCCAGCAGCTCTCCTTTACCAAAAACAGTCAAAGCATAAGAAGGCTTTGATAGATCCCAAATTATCTAAATTTTCGCCCATACAGGAAAGCAGGGACCTTGAGCTGGACTATTCAACCTACCTAACTTCCAGCACTTCTTCACTTGGGGGCATCACCTCCAGAGCAAGGCTTCTCCAGGATGATGTTACGTTTGGTCTTCGAAAAAATATCGCAGACCAACAGAAGTTTATGGGACCAACGCTTGTACATTCCCTTGGTACAAGCCTTGGAGCTGCACTGAGCACATCAATGAGATCCACTTTCCAAGATGATCCTGACAAACCCTACGGCAGTGGCAGCAGGTCCAGGCCTTCCTCCCGGCCATCATCAGTCTATGGGATTGACTTATCACTGAAAAGAGATTCTTCGAGCTCTTCTTTAAGGCTGAAAACCCAAGAGACTGAGCCTATAGATGTTCCTTTCAGCCATGCAGCCCCATCTGGAAGAACTAAACCAACCAGTCTACCTATAAGTCAGAGCAGGGGACGGATCCCAATAGTTGCACAGAATTCAGAAGAAGAAAGTCCTTTAAGCCCTGTGGGTCAGCCAATGGGAATGGCAAGAGCAGCAGCTGGGCCATTACCTCCGATATCTGCAGACACTAGGGACCAGTTTGGGTCAAGCCATTCATTGCCCGAAGTTCAACAGCACATGAGGGAAGAATCACGAGCTCGGGGTTATGATCGGGATATTGCCTTCATCATGGATGATTTTCAACATGCCATGTCAGACAGTGAAGGTAAACTAAACCTCAGACTGCTTTATCACATTTACAATACAAATCCTCATTTCTATGCATGTGTTTAATTTCATCACCTTTTGGAGGTGACTTTTTTTTTCTTTCTGCATTTTGCGTAGTTGTGTGTGTTGTGTATGTATATAAATGTATATTTGGTTCACCAGTGGATTTAATTGTATGCTCAAATTTTGGATGGGTATATAGATAGATTTGCATGCTCAAGTCATACCTTTTTTTCTTTCCTATTGGTTTGGTTTTGCACTTTTTAATTATTTCTTTCTGTCTACCTTTTTATATAAGCATTTGGGCTGGGCTTTTGAAAAGCACTATGCATTGGCCTACTTCTTCCATGCAAATGAGAGGAATTAGCTTCCAGTGAAATCAACCATGGCTGAAAACACCACCCAAAATAAATATAGTTGTCTTATCTATCTTTATATGACGCCATCAGCTGAGCAGCAAACCTATTGATAATTTTCAGCCACCTAAAGCCACCCAAGTATCATAGAGTTCTGTTTGCAAACAAACCCCTTTCTAAAAGTAAATTATCTTATATATTTCAGTGATTAATTGTTCTTTTGGTAGAACTATGAGTAGAAACAATAATGTGATTATGAATATTGTACTTATAAGAAATTTATTATCACATGCTTACAACCACACCTTTAACTATTTGTGTCGACTTCTGTACATTAGAAATTGTGACAATATAAAAATGTTTTATTATTTAGATGACTGGAATAATTTTTTCAGTAAATTTGTATACAGTTACAGACCATCCATTTGATGGATTATCCATATGTGTAAATTACCTACATGAATGATAATACAAAAGTTTGCCATAAACATAGTTTATTTATCCTATTTGTGAAGAACATTATATATTTGTGATGAATCCATCTGCTCTTTGAATTTCTGAGAGGCAGAGACAGGCAGGGCTACATGACCTTTCTGGAAAATTCCAAGTAAATAATCAAGCAAATGTTAATTTGACTAAACATTCAAGTAGGTGTTCATTTGTGAAGCCCACAGATGAATGCAAAAGTGTATCTCACAAAGGAAATAGTTTGAGATATATATATATTAAGAAGTACTGCATTTTTAAAAGCAAAGGAGAATATTATGTTGATGTTCACTATTAAAGTGTAAGTTGTACATCAGTTTTGTTTGAATCAAGAGGTGCTTTTCATATAACTTAAAAATATTGCAGAAGTCATTTCAAAAAGACATTTTAAAAGAAATTAATTCCTGTTTCTTACTTGCTTTTTTCTTTGTACGTGCTCTATTAAGTGCTCATTCATGTTGTTCAATAAAATAAACTGCATGTGCTCATCTGTGCCAGTTGCAGTGATTGCTGTACAAGAAGAATTTGCAGGAGCCTGGAGTATGAAAATGTATTATACTTCCACATTCTTAGCTAATTTGAAGTCATTACTTTAAGAAAAATACCTGCCTATATGAATCATTCTTAAGGTTAAAGCATAAGGCTGCTTCCCTTCCTGTCACTTTACCTTTCTTTCATATCGCAAAAAACAGATATTTTTCAGATTTATCTTTCACGCGACTGGATTGGGGCTTTTTTCCCCCTAGAGGGTGGTCTTGGAGATCTGTTGCAGCAAATAAAATGAAAAACTTAACAAGAGTTTATTCCAGAATAAATTGTCGGAGACTAGAGTCCACTTTGACAGATACACTTAGTGGGGTCTCACCAGACAGATATATGAGGTTATAAAAAAGAAAACTTGTAAATAGCAGATCAAATTATCTTTTTAATGTTAAAATGGTGACTTTTATTCTTTTGCTTAGGGACTGACATTTTTGTCCTGCCTAGAGCGACAAAGGGATTGTTGACACACATCCACAGTCTTGAAAGGGGACTTAAAGGACATCTAGCGCAACTTCCTGCAATTGGAAGTAAGAGCATTTCCAACAGGTCGCTGTCCAGCCTTTGCTTGAAGACCGCCACTGGGAGAGTCTCCACCCCCATCCAAATAAACAGATCCACAGAACTAGGTGGTCAATCATGTTGGTCTGAAGCAGTAGAACAAATTTAGAGTCCCGTGGCACTTTTAAGACCAACAAAGTTTTATTCAAGGTATGAGCTTTCGTGTGCATACACACTTTTTCAGATACATTGGAATGGTAGGTAATTTTCAAAGTTATAGATGGGGCCGAAGAGCAAATTAATATGTAGTAATGAAGATGTGCAAAGGCAAAACTAAATAACAAGCTAAGGTTATAAGGTCAACCGTTGTAAAGCAATAAACCTGTCAAAATAGCAGATAAATGTGTAAAGGTATATTTTCTAATTGTGGGAAGTAAACTGATACTCTCCATTCTCTCCTCTCGGGTGTGGAGGTCACTTAACAGCTTTTTTTTTTTGAGGTGGATGCAGCAAAACATCCCAATATTCCTTGCATTACATTCAGTATTCTAATATACTATTCTGAAAAAGAAATACACTAATATACGGAAGATGCATAGTCCTTCTTGTTGAGAATACATATGTGAGGACTAAATGAGTTAGCATATGTAATTAGATAAGAAACCAATATCCCTGTTGAGTCCCAGGAAGGTTTTTGTTCCAAGTGTTGTAATAACTTGTAGTTCAGCAATTTCCCTTTCCATTCTGTTCCTGAAGTTCCTTTGTAGCTGCTTTATTACAAAGGAACTTTGTAGCTGTTTTATTGCAAAGGAACTTTCAAATACTCCAGTGTATTTGAAAAAGTGTGCATGCACATGAAAGCTCATACCTTGAATAAAATTTTGTTGGTCTTAAAGGTGCCACTGCACTCTAAATTTGATCCACAGAACTGTTCTTACTGTTAGGAAGTTACTCCTAATGTTCATCCAAAATCTCCACTCCTGTAACTGTAGTCCATTGAATCTCATCCTGCCCACTGGAGCTAGAGAAAGCAGGTCATTGCCCACTTCCCTATGACATCCTTTAGGGTATTCCAAGGCTGTGATCTTGTTTGCCCTCAGTCTTCCCTTCTGGAAGCTAAATGAACGTCTTTCTTTCAACCTTTCCTCATAAAATTTGTTTTCCAGATCTCCGAACATCTTCATTGCCCTCCTCCGTACCTGTTCCAGGTTTCTGTATTATTTGTCTTTTTTCATGATGCTTCTATTAATGCCACCCAAAATTGCATTAGTCTATCCTGCAGACTTCTGTTTCATTGATCAACCTCAATCCAAAGAACCTTTTCAGCTGTGCTACTGTACTGTACGTAATGGCACATACCATGTAGGTGGATAAGTAAGTGCTTGAGCTGAAGATGGTATTGCTGATGTTATTAGATCCTATAAAAGCACTGCTTGAGTTGATGTGAGTAGATTATTATTATTATTACTATTATTATTAATAATTGCCTTAAAAGCAGTAAAAACCATCAGCATAAAGTTGTCACAGATGGAATATAAAACCCCTTTTGCCGGCTACAGTGATGTCCGCACAGCAGGGCAGGGAAAGGGGATGTGGGGGTCATAGGAAGAAAAAGAAGGTGCCAGGGTTAACCATTGCTGTCCTCAACTAAAAGCCTGGTGGAACATCTCTGCCTTACAGGCCCTGTGAAATTAGCATTTGGGCTTGTTTCAGGGTCTGTACCTTGGGTTTGCATGTCTCTTAGGTGGCCTCCTGCCATTGCTAAGAAGCTGTTTTGGCTTGGGGGTATCCTTCAGAAAGGAAAAGTATGCACTGCCAAGTCTGTGAGAGAACAGCATCATTGCCCAGGAAGGGCTGTAGGTCACCGGTGATGCATTTGGACTGTTTGTGCTGGGAGCTCCAGGGAGCAAGCAGTGGGGTTCTGTTGTTAACTCTGAGGCCTATTTTGCAGTAAGCTATTTCTTGGTACTACTGTAGCCTTGTCATTCTTTTTCTTCAGTTTGGCTGTCATTTTGGTGTTGTTTCCCAAGGATGTCTGATATAAATCCTTCTGTGTAAGTCTGTCAGCTGAATTAGACTATTAGTTGGTTTCATCAGTTGTTAACCAGTTTAGCAAAACCAGGGAAATTATGTCATCACCAGTTACTGTTATTAAGCTCATCTCTGGACCTCAGAGGCCAGATTCCCTGAAGAAAATGTATACTTTGGAGAACGGACTTGATGGCATTGTAACCCACTGAGGTTCCTGTCCTCCCCAAGCTCCACCCCCAGATCTCCAGGAATTTCCAGACCTGGAGATGGCAACCCTACCCCTGCTGGTAAAAGACCGGTAAAAGGCCAAGTGAAAGGCTAGATAATTTGGAGAGGACCCCCTCTCACCATCTGAGCGTTGTGTTTAATGTCTTGCCAGTTGCTCCTGGTGTCTGGATGCACACATGTTAACCTTGAACTGCTACTGACCATGGCCCCCACCCCTGCAGAAGCAATTTAAGCAAGAAAGAGATTGATGTTTCTTTCCAAGAGCGAAACTAATTATGCCAGCCCCCCCCTTCAGTCCCCTCCCACGGTAGCACACTTAACCTTTTGAATGCCAGGGTGCAGTGGTCTCTGATGCACAGGGTCACCTTGAAGATTGCAGTGTTGTGCCCAGTAATTCCCACCCCCTGCAGTCTTCAAGAGATGCTCTGTGAAAGAGAAGAGGGGAGCTTGAAATCTCTTTCTCTCTCACTCCCTCTCTGTTTGGCTGCAACTTCTAAGTTTACACAAATTCCCGGTATGGGCAGCAATTAGTCAGTGCTCCTGTCTCAGGAATCTAGTCCAGCTTGGGAGTCTTCCTGCCCTTTTGTCATCCTCCACACAAGGTGATCCGTTGAAGACTGTTTGGTGACAGAACCGTTTGTAACAGGTTTGCCTTTCACTTTCTCATCTCCACGCTTTGCTGGCAAGACTCATCAGAGGATCTGAGAGTTGGTAGAGAAAAGACTGTTAAATGAAATAAAGAAAGGACCTGGAGACTGTCAGAGGCGGATCAAATGGCAGGCAAGACACAGCCTCTGGTAGGCTTTCCCAGGGTCGAAAGCTGGGTGGGGGAGGGCTGACAGACCCCGAGCAGACA